TTTGCACTATCAGCTCTGAAGAAGGCAATGTTCTCTGGATATTTTAGATTACAACACTCCTAAACCCCTGGGAAGCATGGACAACACTAAGGGATTATAGTAGTTTTAGTCCAAAATATCTGGAAATAGCCAACTGTCTCCTCTAAAAAATGTGTCTGGCACCTAAGAGTTACATTTAGTTGTGCTAACATATATGCCAAAAAGATGTGATAGTTCACAATAGGCAGAAAAGTACAATATTACTATAAATATATTCTGACAAGTAAGTAGTTGTGAACTACCCAGAATCAGGAGAAAAGCAGCATTTAATTGTTAACCAGGGAATTAAAGGTAAGCATTTTTGAAACAGTTAACATCTTCAGATGCTATCAATATTTTGTCAGTATCATTACTTGTTACAGAACTGTTCACCTATACAATTTGCACTGTTTCTGAGACACAGAGAGACTGGACAGTCAGTGTAAACAGCATCTTCAGGCCTTTGCAGACTGCCAGAAATAGTGCAAATTGAGTCCACTTTAAGGGTTAGGGTTAATGCTAGGGAATCATGGGAATTGTTGTGTGTGTTTTTTTCTGAGACATTGAGCCTTCTCTGTCAGAGAGCTCTGGTGCCACAATAAAATACAGTTTCCACGATTGCCTAACCCTAAAAGTGGACTCAATTCGCACTATTTCTGACAGTCTGCAAAGGCCCTTCATGAGGAGAGCCACAACAGATACTTGCAACTATTCCTGTTCTCTTGAAAATCATTCAGTCTCATAAATGAAACTGATACCACACATCAGAAAGTGTGGCTAGGCCACCCATGTTAAGTAAGTGTTTATATTTTAACTAACTTAGCTTTTTGGAAAACATTAAATATGTTTAGCTATCTAAAGGACTAGCAACTGCTAATCCAAGTCCAAAATATGTATTAACTGTAGCCCTAATTCTGTATGATTACACAGAGCTGGAGTCCAAGCAAGGTTTCATATTCAATTCCATTTCCCTTAATGACTCCACTCAGGAAAGTGGGTAGTAAAGAGGAAGCTCACTTTATACACAAGCCTAGTGCACAGTGACAGCCAAAAAGACAAATTCATCTTGTGGAATCTCATGGTACATTTGTGCAAGTAAGCTCAAGGCTCACCAGTCACCCCATCTTTTCCATACATCCTACCCCATGCTGTTCTGGAGGGTCTTCCTCCTACCCTCAGGGAAAAGCCTGGGGGATGTAAGAGAAGAGCAATAGGAAAGGGAAATTGGCAAAACCAAGGAGAATCTGCTTTGAGGGAACTGCTTTTGCAAGACCACCTATGTAAGGAAGCCAATGAACCTGTGGAATTTAAGAGGTGCAGGATCTTATAATGGCAAAGAGGCAGATTTAGAAAAAAAATGATTAGGTCACTATAATGGCTATACTAGCATGGTATAGTGGTTTGAGTACTGGATTATGACTCTGGAGTTCAGAATTCAATTCCTCGTTTGAGCATAAAAACCCACTGGGTGATCTTGGGCAAGTCATATTCTCTCCCCCTGAAAGGATGGCAATGGCAAACTCCCTCTGAAGGAACTTGCCAAGAAAACCCTATGATAGGTTTGGCTTAGGGTTGCCATAAGTCAACAATGACATGGAGGCACACAACAACAACAATACACAAACAGAATCTCCACATGTAGAGGCACTATACTGATGTTTATCAGTTTCTGGGGCAAAGAACAAGGCGTAATTATTTCTACCACATATTACTCCTTAAGTTTCCTCAAGGCATCTGGATGACAATTGCAACTTTAAAGCAAAGGATCATCTAGCTCAGTAGGCAACTCTTGTATTCTAAATCATTCAGATTTCAATCTGTGTTCTTTCCCTAACCAGTTTTCTGACATTCAGTACAATTCATCCATAGGATCTATATCAGATAAGCATGCCATCTATAGTTTAGTGATCACAGATTTACAGTTTTTCTATTCTGATAGAAAGCCTAAAATTCAGTTCAAGAATTCTGTTAATTATCTTATCAATGGTTATTACCTTGAAATCAAATATGTTTTTAAACCAAGTTTGTGTTTGTTTAAAAAAAAAAACTAACACTATACATATGAGAGAATCTAAAATTCTTACCTTTAATTTCTTGTTTAGTTTGCAGCAAAATCGATATAACATAGCCAGGTTTAATGGTCCAAAATCTGCATAAAAACTAAAAGAAATACATACCAATAGTCAAAATACTTGTACTTTTAAGCCCTTTGGAGAATTAATCAAGCTACTTTTGAAAGCCCAAGCCTCCTTACAAATAGAAGCAACTACAGTGGTACCTCTACTTACGAATGCTTCATCTTACGAAAAATTCAACTTACGAAATGCGGCTACAGATAATTTTTGCTTCAACTTACGAAACTGTTCTACTTACGAAATTGACTGGAAGGAGCTGCTTTTTGAATTTCATGGCATGCTATTGGTTAGTGAAATCTGGCAAAGCAGCACTCTATTGGCTAGAGAACCAGGAAGTGTTTGCCTAGTGAAACTAAGTTAGGTAGCATTGTCTGGGCTTGCATGAGAGGAGAGGAAGTGTGTTTTTCTTTTCAATTGGGTGTGTTCGGATGACTCCTCCTCCTCCCTCCCTCACTGTTGCCATTGCACAGCCGGCTGACCCAAAAGGTAAATGAATTTTTTTTTATTTTTATTTTTTATTCTTTGGATTAGTCCTGCAACTCATTTTTATGTTTTTTTGTTCTTTAAGGGTAATGTAACATGTTTGTATTAGAGGTACTTAACGAAATAACCCTGTGTATTATACATTTGTATTGAGTTGTAGCTTGAATTTGGGGGCCTGGAACGGATTAGGCATTTTCAATGTTAAATTTGCTTCTACTTACGAAATTTTCTACTTAAGAAATGGGCTGTGGAACGGATTAATTTCGTAAGTAGAGGTACCACTGTACATCCCCATTATGAGTTATACAGGAGCACAAAATGGTGTTAGAACTAGAATTGGAACATATTACAATAGCCATTGCAAACTGCTCTCTGACTTTGCTCTGTAATTCAATTACTATAGGCAATAAGTTATTAGAAGACTGCTGCACATAGATAAGCTATAGGACCAGATTTGAGCAAAAGGTAGACTGCTATGACCAACTTTACAGGACATACACAGTCAATACAGTTATAGGCAGGTGTGTTTTTTGTTTTGTTTTTATTCATTTCTTTTTGAAATTTTATCAAATTTTCTCTTTTGGTTTGCATTACAGACAATTTCTATTCAACAACAGAATCTCAACAAACCAGAGAAAAACAGTCAGCATCACCTGATCATGTTACAACAACAGAGTGCTGCATCCTTCCATTCAAAAATGATTTCTCCAAAATCTCATAAGGAAGGGCAGAAGATCCCATGAAGAGGCTTCCTCCTTGTCACATACAATCAAACTGAACCATATTTGTTCAAACTGATTTTCAGCTCCAGTCCTCTGGCTCATTTTAACCTATGGATGAGTTTTTCAGCCAGTGCAGCTGACCAGACTCTGTCCTACCAAGATCGCATGCACAGGTTATACAACATTTTCCAGTGTTGGGATATTTCCATGTGTGCCACCAAGAGCAGAAACAAAATTAATTCCCTCTGGTGCAAGTTCGCATTTTCAGCCCCGAAGATGGTTCACAGGAATAAAGCACTACACCACTTAACAATTCGATTGTTATATTGATAATTAGTTGCAGGACCTCATTCCAAAATTTGTTAACTTGAGGACACTCAAGCCAAAGCTGTTTCAAAGTGCCTCTTTTGCCACATCTCCTCCAGCACAAGGGAGAAACATCAGATGTGATCTTGGCAATTTTGTCTGGAGTAATTTTGTCTGCAATCTATGCCCTAATTTTAACATGTGCTCCTTGTTGCTGGAGGAGATGGAGCAGTAGGGGTGTGAGGACCAAATTTTGAGCCATTGCTCATCTGTGATTGTAATGCCAAGATCTGCTTCCCATTCAGCTTGCTAAACTTTATGTTCACTATAATTTTATGAAGCAGGAAAGCCATTCCCTTAGATTGATCACCATATTTTATACAAATATTTTCAAACTGAGTGGCTTTGAAGGTCCGTGGTGCATAACTCATGTTTTTGCAAATGAGCTTATTAGAAATAATTGTAGCCATGAAAGCTTTAGATCTTTTAATTTGTCTTGAATATCATTAGAATGCATGGGTGCACCATTATTAATTAAATCAGTAATCATTCAAAAATTGGATTTCCTAAGAACCCTAAGCTGTGTATATGTAAAATTATGAGGGAATAAGGGATGAGTAGGAAATAGGATAAAAGATGGTTGGCCTATATTAGTTGTTTGCAGTTTAACAGCTTTTCTAACAGAGAGCAGAGGCTAGTTTAGAACCTTTTTTAACATTTAATTTCTTTGAACACATATTTGCTGCAACAAACATGATATATGGTGTGTGTTTCTGCTTATGGTTAAATATACTAAATGTTGTTTGTGTATTAACAGCTGGGAAGACAGAAGTAATGTATCAATCATGTTTTCAACTCAGCTTTTCTTCTCTAAATTACAGCACCAATTACATATAAAATTAGAGTTAAGTCCTGAAGCACGTCTCCTGTCCTTACAAAGGTTATTGCTTTTGGTAAGTTGAAGAAATGTTTATAAAACAATAAATATTGTCTCCTGTGATTTGTTCCAGTGTTTTAATTGGAGTTATTGTGTGTGTCTAACATGCACCTTCAAGTCACCTGTTGACTTATGGCACCTCCATTTCATAGGGTTTTCTTAGGCAAGGAATAGTCAGAGGTGGTTTCACCAGTTCCTTCCTCTGAAATATAGGCTGCAGCACTCAGTGTCATTTGGCAGTTTTCCATCCAAGTAGTAACCAGGGCTGACTCTGCTTAGCCTCCAAGATCAGACAGGATCTGGTACCTTTACGGTATTTATGCCATGGAGCTATTATACTATGCATAATATTCAGTCTCTTAAACACAGTCAAAACCATTGTTTTATTATTATCAACAAGCCAGCGTGGTGTAGTGGTTTGAGCATTTGACTATAACTCTGGAGATCAGGGTTCGAATCCCCTCTTGCGGATAAAACCTATTGGGTGACCTTGGGCTAGTCAAATTCTCTCAGCCTCAGAGGATAGCAATGGCAAATCCCCTCTGAAGAAACCTGCCAAGGAAATCCTATAATAGGTTTGCCTTAGGGTTACCATAACTCAAAAATGACTTGGAGGCATGCAACAACAACCAAGTACAGTACAGTGGGCCCTTGTTATCCGCAGGGGTTTGGTTCCAGGACCCCCCTCCCATGGATAACAAAATCTGTGGATGCTCAAGTCCCATTAAATACAATGGCATAGCAAACTGGTGTCCCTTATATAAAATGGCAAAATCAAGGTTTGCTATTTGGAATTCATACTTTTTTTGAATATTTTCAAGCCGTGGATGCTTGAATCAGTGGATTAAAAAATCCGTGGATAAGGAGGGACGATTGTATTATCAAAAGGGGCAAGACCAAAATGAATGACATTCTTTTAACACTGTGATAAAGACTTAGGCTAGCATGTGAACCAGGAATTATCAGCAACAAAGGTAAGACACTGAAGTGTTCTGATTGATAGTTTCCTGGCACAGTTGCTAAGCAGGTTGCTAGCTTTACCTTGTTTGATGGAGTTGCTATGAGCTCTGGCAGGCATAGCACATTCCTTGACTTTGAAGTTCTTTTAAATCTATTACTGCATTGGCACCATGCTGCTGGATTATAGGGCACCAACCAGTTTGCTCAGGTGCAAGCAGCAGCTCCTGTGCCAGGCATGGTGGCAGGTTACAGTATGAGGTTGCACACTAAATAATCAGTGTACTATTAACAGGAAATGAGGAATGGGAAAATATTTAACAGATATTGTTTCTAGGTGGACAGGAGCTTGGTTTTATCATCAAAGGTAAGGTAGCGACAACTGTGGGGCGGTATTAAACCTTCAGAAGTTACTATCAAAGAACCAGAGATCTTGTACCTGCAAAATATTTGCAGAGCATGTAAGGTGATTCATAATATGAACAGTCTTATAGCTGCAATGTATTGAAGAGATTTAATCTAAATGGACCTACTAAAGTCCATTGGATTAAATGTTAGCCATGTCTGAAGACCAACTGAGCTTAACAGGCCTACTCCAATTACAGTCAAATGGGGAGTCAATCAGCTTTATTTCTAGAAAACAGAATTAGGCTCATCATATGGAAATGACTTGAGCAGAGTAATTCAGAAATTTTGAGAGGGCATTTTCCTTACAAAACCTGAATTACAGTAATTTGGCATATGCATTATTAAAATGTTTTAAGCCGTTTTAAAAGCTTAACATGAACTTTACATACCTGAGGGTGTAAATCAATAGTTATTTATTAATTCCATCAGGTGTTTTCTAACACAGACCTTATTGTTATTTATGTAGAGCAGCAATTCCACATAATGTGGTGTTAAAAGATACAGTTAAGTTTTACTTTTCAATTTCAGTTCAAAAACAGAGGCACATTCAGCTATAATGTAAGTGAGTCTTGTCACTTCAATGTTATTGGTAGGTACAAGTCTCAGAGGCCAAAAAAGGTCTCTATTTGAAAAGCAGATACTTGCTGAGTGGCAACATAACTTCTTAGTAAATTAACCCCAAACTTCTCATTGATAATGAATGGTATATGTTATATGATGTGACCCTCTGTCACAGATTTATGTAGAGAAACTATGAAAAAACACTTGAATCCAGCAACTAGAAGACAGATGTAAATGAGAAAAATTGGAAGGAGCAAGGAGAGAACTTTTCATAGTGAGGACCAAAGAGTTAAGGCAATCATGAGCTATCTCAAAATGGAGCAGACATAGACCAACTAGAGAAATGTGTTGGCCAAATGAACACCTATTGTGCATTAAGCAGTCGAGTGTGATCATATGCCAAGCCCAGCTTTGCTTGCAAAGGACAGAACAAGAGCTAGCATTCTTCTTGAAGAATAAGCCAATTACTAGTTCCCAACTCATTAATTAGTTACAAGTCCAAGTCAGCCCCGTATCTGCCAATTGTTTTTTCAGCTTTATTTTCCAACTTCTTTATTATAAAGTTAACATTAAAGGGGGGGGGGAAACAACCTTTAGCAAGGCAAAGACATATTAGACATAGCTTTCAGCTGAACATAAAGAATAATTTTCAACAGGCTAGTCTTAAAACATAATAGTTGGATTTTTCAGCTTTTTATTTCCATTTGGCAGTATACAAGCTCATTCATTTTTCTTGGCATGACAGGTTCTGATGTTTAAACATAAAATATTTAATTGGATTTGGCACAGCTATTGTGAAGAGCTGCAATAGCTGGCATTTTAGACATGGCAGCTACAGTACAAACTGGACCCCACATTATCGAAGCAGTCCTACTACCAAAAAAAGCAGTAACATTAACAGGAAATATGGGACAAAGTTAAACATAGACCTGTAAGGTTTCCATGATCAAATTTTGGTCAAAAAAATTTTTTTCTTCATGTGCAGAAAACTGCTCGGATGGTAAATAAACAAGAATGTCTGAAATTCAGCTTGAAAATATGCATCAGGACAGCAGAATTTACAATTATTTTAGATATTTTTTAAAAAAATTACATAGTAATGTTCTGAAGTTCATATCAATATACAAGAATTTAACATAAGTGACAACTTCCAATTCAGTAAAATATCCATCAGTGGTAAGAACAGCAGTATAAAACAGAAAACAACAAAATATGGAGCAGAAAATCAGCTATTTCTATTTTTTTTAACCCAATGATATGCATGGCTAACCAAAGAGGAGTCTTCTTACACAGAACTACAGTCTTAACGTGCCTTCAAAAATACAGCGGGAAGGTACTTGTATTTACTTTTCAGAGAAGAAATTCAAGCACATCAATGCTCCCACTGAAGTTTCCTCATGGAACTTGACCCAGTTTTTCCTGGGATGAAATCTAGAGAAGAGCCCATCAGAAGATCTGGTAGTATCTACTCTGCACAGTGATCTTGAGTTTGATCAAGAGGAAAGTGCAAGCTTGAATGTAGTATTAAATTGGGGGTTTCAACTTTCTCCAGATTGATTCACTCTCTATAAATTTGGCCAAATTCAAATTCAAGATTAAGAGTCAAAACTTGTAGCATCATGCAGGTTCTACACATATGCAGCTTGAGGTCTCCAAAAAGCTTTCCATGTTCACAGTAGAATCTAATGGATTATGCTAAAGGTATTTTGCAGTATAATTCTGCTGTGAGCCAAATTGCTGATCCACTATAAATTATGCTTCAATCAGCATCTCTAAAGGTAGGCAACACTTTAATCAAAACTAAGCCATGCTTAGGATGATGAAAAGAATCAACTACTTGCAAACAGTAGACATATTAATGTCAAGTTCAATAATGTGAGCAAAGAATTACCCCTATGGTTTTAATTTTAAAATAGGGAATCTTGCAGAAATATTATTTTTTATTATTTTCTCACTTTACCTCAAAACTGGGACTCAAGGTAGCTTTCAAATTAAAATGAATACAATATAGTTAAAAGATCAACATTAAAATAAAATTAAACTATTAACACTATTCAAACCATTTGACACATAGGCATTAAAATGATAAAAAGAAACTTTAAAATGGTAGAATTAAAACAAGAGCCAGCACAGTGTAGTGTTTTCAGTGCTAGACTAGACGTCTCAGAGACCAGGGCTGCATCCAGACAGCAAACATAATCCAGTTTAACACTACTTTAACTGCCATGGCTAAATGCTATGGAATTCTGGGAATTATAGTTTTATGAAACATTTAGCCCTCTCTGTCAAATCCCTACACAGCTATGAAACCAACTGGTGATCTTGGGTAAGGCACTCCCTCTCAGTCTCAGGAACATAATGCCAAACCTCTTCTGAACAAATTTTGCAAAGAAAACCTTTGGATATCTTATCCTTAGGGACACCAACAATTAAAACAGTACTGTACCCTCTTAAAAGTACTTGACTAAAAAAAAAAAAAAATCTTCTTATAGGTGCAACCAGGGTTCAAGAAAGGAAGAGGCACTAGGGACCACATTGCAAACATATGATGACTTATGGAGAGTCCAAAGGAATTCCAGATGAAAATCACCATAAATAGCAAGCATTTAACTGCATAGATCACAAAAAAAGTATGCATGGATCTTAAGCACCTAGGAGAGGCACTACATCTGATAGTCCTGATGAGAAATCTGTATTTGGGTCAAGAGGCTACTGTTAGAACCAAATTCAGAGAAACAGCATTGTTTTGAATTGCTAATAGGGTCAGGCAAGGATGCATTCTGTCACCCTATTTCCGTGATGGCGAACCTATGGCATGCATGCCAGAGGTCGCACGTGACACCATTTTGCATGTGGCTGGGAGGAGGAAAAATAAGTGCGTGTGTGCCTGTGGCTCCTCCTTCCCAACCTTTCCATGCCTTCAGCTGTCTTTCGGAGATAGCTGGAGGCAAGGAAAAGCATGAGGGGAGAAGCAGCCACAGGCGCGCGCATCCTCCCGGACCTTTCTTGGCCTCTAGCCATCTTTTTGGAGACAGCTGGAGGCTAGGAAAAGCATGAGGGGACAAGCAGCCACAGGCATGTGTCTCCTCCTGAACCTTTCCCAGCCTTCAGCTGTCTCTTGGAGTCCTGCCCCCATAGGGTAACACCCGGTGCCGGAAAAACTCTTAGTTGGGGCAAGGTTCACCATCACTGCCCTATGTGTTCAACTTGTATGCAGGAAATATCATAAGAAAAGCAAGTTTAGACGTAGAAGGAGGAGAAGTGAAGACAGGAGGAAGGAACATCAATAAAAATATGCTGATGAATGACACCATACTACTAGTGGAAAACATCACAGACTTGGAACAATTATTAAGGAAGGTCAAAAATGAAAGAGCAAAGGCAAGCTTAATGCTGAAAATAAAGAAAACAAAAATAATGACCATCAAAGAAATAAATGAATTCAACCTAGACAATGAGGAAATAGAAATAGTTAAAGATTTCCCGTACCTTGGATAACACATTGATCAGAATGGAGACTGCAGCCAAGAAATCAGAAGACTA